CCCCCGACCCTGCCACACTCACTCGCAGAAGGTCAGGTCGCCGGGTGGGCCCCGCGGGGGGGCTGCACGCCGTTTGGCTGGGGACGCCCCCTCGGGACGCCGCGATGCCGCCCTGCGTCGGGGGCTGCCGTCCTCCGCCGTGCCCCCCCCGGGCACGCGGCCCCGCTTCCGCTTCTTCCCCCGCCGCGGGGTGAGGGGCTCCGGGTACTGCTGTGCCTGGGGGGGGCGGGGTGGACACAAACACGCGGGGTCACCGACAGCACACGGCCCCGACGGCGGCACCGCACAGCCCGGACCCCCCCGTACCCGCGAGACGCAGACCGAGCAGAACCAGTCGCCCTCGGGCACGGCCGCCATGCGCGGGCGGTGGCAGTAGAGGTGGCAGCCGCGGTCGCAGCCGTCACACAGCAGCAGGTTCTCATCATCATCCCCACGCCGGCACACCAGGCACGTCTGCAGGGGTTGAGGGGCTCAGAACGGTGGTCTCCCCCCCCCCGGACCTTCCCCCCCCGGTGCCGGCAGCGCGCTCTCACCACTTTGTTGACAGACTTCTCCCACGCGATGGAGCGCTCCAGCTGGTGGATGCACAGCGACACCTGGGCTGCACTGCGGCACCGCTCCAACGTCTGCCGCCACGTCCGCACGCGGGGGGTGATTTCGTAGGCGCTGCAGGGGGGCACGAGGCTCAGCACAGCGCCGGGGGGGTCCCGCGGGGGTGTGAGGGCTGGGGAGGCTCACATCTCCGTCGGGCTCAGCTCCTCGGGGCCGCTCAGCACCGCCTTCTCCAGCACCACCTCGTGCGGTGCCCACAGCGGCTCCTTCAGGTAGCGCCGCTCCACGTTCTGCTCCAACGCCGCCAGGCGCAGCACCGCCAGGTCCAGAGGGTTGGTGTCCTCGCGGCGCGGGGGGAGCCCGTCCCGCCGGCTGCGCACCGTGATGTCCTCCAGAGGCTCCACTTTGTGCTCGCAGTACCGCAGGTCAGTGCGCGTGGAGTCAGGGCTGGGGCACGTCCAGCCCTACGGGACAGAGGTGCTCAGGGCTGAGACCCTCCTGTGCGGCTGAGACCCCCCCCGCCCTGCGCACGGGGACCCCCGCCTACCCGGATCTGCAGGTCGGCCATCAGCACGCGCTGCTCCAGCTCCTCCACCCACTGCAGCACCGACAGGTCGGCCTCGTACGCCCTCTCCATCACCGACCACTGGGCCAACGCTTCCTGAGACGCGGCGGTGACGGCGGCCGCCTCGGGGCGGGGGTGGAAGATGGGGTCTGGGGGCACACGAAGGAGTCGGCAGGGGGGACGCAGACCCACGCCCGCAGCCCGCAGCCCACGCGCACCCCGTACCCGTGGCCGCACGCAGGCAGACCTCCCGCAGGTACTCCCTGTGCTTGGTCAGGTGTTTGTGCAGCGCCTTCTCCCGGATGCCGCGCGGGTGCAGCGCTCGTGCCACCGCCTCCAGCTGCTCGGGGTCCTGCAGCCACCACCACCCGCTCCGCATCTCTGCAAGGCAGCGCCGTGGTCAAACCGGTCCCGCAGCGCTGCCCACCTCCCCCACGTCCCGTCCCCCCCCCCCGACCCCGGGCAGCGCTCTCACCGGGGGGAACCGGCTGCTCTGTCAGCTGCGTCAGGTACTTCTGCTCCATCTGCTTGAAGAACTTGGTGGGGGGCCGCCCCCGGCGCTTGGGTTGCCCCGGGGGGTCCTGCAGCTTCTCCAGGCTATTCCGGCTGCGTGGGCAGGCAGGGGGGGCCCTGGCACCGGCGGGGACCGGGGTGGAGGCGAGCAGAGGGGAGGTGGAGTCATCTGCTGGGAGCCCATTCAGCTGCAGGGACGGAGCACGGTGAGTAGGAGATCCCCAGCCATCACTCTTCAGAGCCCCCCGTTCACTGCAGCACCCACCTGCCTGGCTGAGGCCTTGGGCTGCTCCCTGTGGGGCTGCTCCCTGTGGGGCGGTGGGGGCTCAGCTGAGGAGGGCACGTGGGGGACTCTGTCATCGCGGGGCAGGGGGCTGAACCACGGCCCCTGCGTATCTGCAGTCTCTGTGCTGCTCTCCTCCTCTGTGGGGTCAGACGAGGCCTCGAGGGGCGGCAGCCCCACATCCCCCGCTCCGGGGCTGCTGTCCGGGGTGAGCACAGCGTCGGTGAGCAGCGAGGGCTGCGTCTGGCTGAGCCACGACAGGAAGGCGGACTGGCTGAGGTCGTGTTGGCTCTGCCCCAGCGCCAGAGGCTCCTCCAGGGCGCCGTTGATGGGTGGCGATTTGGGGGGCATGGGCAGGGGGATGGGTGAGGGGACGGGCGGGGGGATGGGCGGGGGGACGGGCGGGGGGGGTGGCTCCTCTTTGCTCTTCCGCGGTCGTCCCCGGGCGCGTGCGGCCACACAGTTCATGGCGACCCGTTGGGGAACCGGCGCCGGCACCTCGGGGTCCGGTGGCTCCTCCTTCACCGCGGGCACCGGGCACAGAACCTTCTGCTCCGTGGTCTCCTCCGGGCGCTCCTCGGGCACTGCAGGGGAGGAACGAGGGCAGGTTGCACCGTGGGGGTCCCCAGCACGCCTCCAGCCCCAACCCCGCTCACCTTCCGCCCCCTCCACGAAGATCCCCCCCAGGTGGGGCAGCACCCAGTACCGCCGCCGGTACCGGTCCTGGCCCAGGGAGGCAGCCCGCAGTGTCTGCGAGGAGTGCAGCAGCTTCTTGCGGAAGAACATCTGCCGCTGTGAGAAGGGCACGGGGTGAGGGGCTGCAGTGGGGAGGGGAGGGGTCACAACCATGGGATGGGGACACACAGACCCGTGCCTCCACTCACCTTAGCCAGCTTCTCGATCTGCCGCTCGAGCTCAGGGATGCTGGAGGTGGATGTGTCGGCCTGGGGGGGGGGTTTGAGGGACCATCAGGACCAGGGGAGACCCCGAGACCGCACTCCATCCCATCCCACAGCGCTCCCAATGCCAAACATCACCTCCTCGTCCCGGCGGGAGCGGCGGCCCCGACCCTCCTCCTCCTCCTCCAGCTCCAGCCCCGGCTCCTCGCACAGGCGGGAGCTGCGCCGGCGTCGCCCATCCTCCAGTGCCATCAGCTCTGACTCGGGGCGACCCGTCTTCTTGGCCAGGGCCACCTTCAACCTGATGGGACACAGCACAGTGACAGTGGAGATCCTGCGCGGAACCCCTTCTGTGCCCAGAGCCCCTTGAGTCAGGGGGATGGGTTTGGGGTGCGCAGCCCCACCCCATCCCATGGCACAGCCCCATTTCCCATCCCATAGCGCAGCCCCATCTCCCATCCCCACAGCACAGCACCATCCCATAGCACAGCCCTGTCCCTATCCCCTGGCACAACACAGCCTCCTCCCCACCCCATAACACAACCCCCACCCCACAGCACCCACCGGCGCAGCCGTCCTTCAATGATCCATTTGTTCTTCCTGTAGGCCGACATGCTCTCCAGTGTCTTGTCAATCTCACTGCAAGAACACGAAGCAGGGGGGGGGGGCTCAGCTCCATGGGGTGGGGGCACAGCTGGCGCTCCCCCCTCTATGCTCACCTGATGATGCGGGCGCTGCTGTTGAGCTCGTTGACCAGGAAGGCCAGGATGGCAGCTTTGCGCTCCGGGAGCAGCGCCTGGAAGGGTTTGGTGCGCAGCCCCGTGCACAGCTCAGCTTCAGCCCCGTGGGCTGTCAGGAAGCAGCGCAGCACCTCCGAGACGGTGTCACGGTTCAGGCTGATCTCTGACACCTTCTCACCCAGGATCTTCAGGGACTGCGGGGAGAGAGAGGTGTTGGGGGGGGCAGCAGGAAGGGGACAACATGGAGAGAACACTGATGGGGGAGTCAACTCTTTGAAAGGGTAGACAGCAGCAAGACAAGGGAAAATGGTTTGAAGTTGAGGGAGGGCAGATTGAGATTGGATGTCAGGGGAAGTTGTTTGCTGTGAGAGTGGTGAGGTGCTGGAACAGCTGCCCAGAGAGGCTGTGGATGCCCCGTCCATCCCTGGAAGTGTCCAAGGCCAGGTTGGATGGGGCCCTGGGCAGCCTGGGCTGGCATTAAATGTGGAGGTTGGTGGCCCTGCACGTGGCAGGGAGGTTGGAGATTCATGATCCTTGAGGTCCCTTCCAACCCAACCACTCTGTGATTGTGTGACTGACTGGAAAACCCAAAGCCTGGGGTGGGTGTCCCCAGATGGGGCTACAGCATGAGCAGCACATCCCAAAACGCAGTGCCCACCCACCCCAGGCCTGCAGCAGCTGCAGCTTCACGGGCACCAAGGGCACCAGGATAGGGAATGGAGGGACTCAGACGAGGCAGGGGACACAGAGGAGGGGCAGTACCTGGCAGTAGGGGGGCAGCCCGGGGTCGTAGAGCGCAGCCTGCAGCAGCCGCACCAGCAGGTCCTGCACCGCGCCGGCGCTGCCGCCCACCCCCAGCAGCCCCTCCTGCAGCGTGCTCAGGCTGGGCACGTCCCTGCTGGGGTCAAAGCCCAGCACCTTGCCGTAGCTCTGCAAGAACTCCACCACCGTCAGGCAGTGGGAGAACGCGCGGCTGGGCAGCACCAGGCCTGGGATGCGTGAGAAGGTCGGCAGCGGCTGCAGGGCAAAGTGGGGTGGTCAGGGCAGGGGACGCAGGGGGGTCAGCCCTGCTGCACCCCCTCCCCATCCCAACCTGGTGGTCCGCCAGGCACATATCCTCCGTCGGCTTCTTCATCTCCTCCAGGATGAGCTGCTGCCGTCGCCGCTCCTCCAGGCGCCGCTGGGCCAGCAGCCCCTTGTCCACCCTGCGTGTCCCTTTGCCCTTCTTCTCCTTGGGCCGCCCCTTGTCCTTGCCCTTCTCCGCTTTGCCCTTTTTCTCCTTGGCCTGGAGACAGATCCCGGGGTGGGTGGTCCCTCCAGCCCCCTCCCTCCCTTCCCCATGGCTGCTGCGGACCCACCTTGGACTTCTTCTTGGCTTCCTTCGCTTTGGGAGCTTTTGCCTCCTGCTTCTGCTTGTTCTTGGCCTGGGGAGAAGAAGAGCAGCTCAGGGACCGGCAGCAACGCAGTGGTCGGGGCAGGGGGCTGCTCTGTGCCCCGCAGCCAGGGAAGGCTCCGTGTCAGCCACCAAGATGGAGGAGTCCCAGGGCTGCCCCTAGCCCTCCCCAGGCACCCCTCATACCTTCCGCCTCATCTTCTTCTTGATTTTGCTCATTTTCAGCTTGTCCTCATCACTGAGCACCTCTGTGAGAATGGAGGGGGTGGTTGGTGACAGCGAGCGGGCTGCGGGGCGGGCTGCGGGCCGGGGGGTACCTTGGGCCTCCAGCCTCTTCAGCAGCCGCGCGTCCGTCTTGCTCAGCAGATCCACCATCCGGACCTTGGGGGGCCGCCCGCGGCCGCGCTTCATGGCAGGCAGCTCTTTGGGCTTTGCCTTCTCAGCGTTGCGGGGTCGGCCGCGCTTCCCGGTGATGGCTTGGATACGGGACGGGATCTCCTCGGGGCTCAGCTTCACCCACTGCAGACCCTGCAGAAGGAAACCCCATCAGCCCCACAGGGAGCGACCCACAGCCCCACGGCTGCGGCCGTTGCACAGAGCAGTGGCCTGCAGAGCACTACGAGCGCTCACCTCCGGCGTCTCTCGCTCCTCATAGAAATCCCCCACTGGCATCCGGGGGCTGAAGCTGAAGTGCTCACGGCGGACATCCTGCACCACGTTCCTGTTCAGGTACTGGGGGGCAGGAGGAGGAGGATGAGGAGCCCTAGTGGAGCTGGGGGGCTGCTCAGAGCCCACCGCCCCCCACCGTACCTTGATCACCTCCGGGAACTGCTTCATCCTCTTCCCACATGGCCCATAGTACCACGTCTCTCCCTGCCAGCGGTGGTTCCCCCTTTTGATGCGCACCTCTCTCCTCCACCTGCACACAGAGGGGGCTCAGCCTGGGTCCTGCACAGCCACGAGGGACGTGGATATGGGGACACCACGTACCCATGCTGCAGAGGGAAGCGCACCTCCTCAGGGGTGGCAATGCGCCTGCGTGGGACATCGCCTGTGGGGCAGAGGGGGGAGCAGCTCAGGGGGTGTGGGGGGCACCCGGCTGGGGGTGGAGAGGGGGGGGTGTTCCATCCTCACCTCCCACCGATGTGCTCAGCGGGGCGGCCTCCTCCTTGCTCTCTCCTTCTGGAGCAGCTGAAGCCTCCGTGCAGCTGTCAGCCACCTCCTCTTCCTCGTCCTCCTCTTCCTCCTCCTCTTCCTCAGCAGAAGGACACGGGGATTCAGGCTCCAGCGCAGCGCTGAGCTCCAGAGACCCCGACTGCTCCGGCCCTGTGTGGCCGCTGCTCAGCTCTGGGCTGCTGTCTGCAGGGCCAAAGCAGCACCGTCAACACGCCTGCCATCCCTTCCTGCTCCTCCCATAGGAGCCCCCCCCGAGCACTGAGCTGGGGCTCAGCACCATAAAGGTGCTCCACGCACCGTGCAGGGGGGGCGGTGAGTCAGGGCTGGGCAGCAGCGGGGGGGCCGGGCGGTGGGCTGCCAGCAGGCTGAAAGGGCTGGCGGCACGCAGCGGGGGGCTGGCGGCAGGCAGGGGGGGGCCGGGCGCGTCGTCGGGGGGCTCCTCCAGGGGGGATTTGTCGCCCACCAGCTGCGCCTCATCCATCGCATAGAGGTCACCGGTGTCGGGGTCTGGGGGGGCGGAGGAAAACGACACAGCGCGGAGCTCAGTGGGGCAGCACCGCACAGAGGAGCCCCCCGGCTCTGCGCGCACCGGGGGCGCACGACCCACAACCCACGTGGCCGCGCGGGCAGCGGGGCTGACAGCCCCAAACCCCGGTGGGTGCCGGGACGAGAGGGGTTAAGGGAGCCCGCAGCCCCCGGCCACGCCTCCTCCGTTGGGAAGCGGAGCCCAAAATGGCCGTGGCGGCGGCGGCGATGTTCAGCAGCGCGGAAGTTCAGGCGCTGAGGAACAGCTTCGTCACCGCGCTGGGAAGGGAGGCCGGAGCGGAGGAGGGACCGCGCCATCCCGGCCCGCCCCTCCGCCGGAGCGGCGCAGCGCAGCGGCCATCGCCATCGGCCCCGAGCGCCGCGCTGCCCGCAGCCCCCCTACCTCCGGCCAGGGCCTCGAAGGGCTCCAGGGGGTCTTCGCTCAGCAGCTGCGCGTCCTCCAGCGGCGCGCCCATGGGCGATGCGGGCCCCAGGCTGGCGGTGCCGGAGGTCAGGCCCGGGCTGTCCCGGCCCAGCGGCACCGCGGCGGGCGCTGCGCCGTCGTAAGCGCAGAGCTTCAGATCTGCAGGGAGCAGAAAGCTGCAGCAACGAACCTGGGAGCGGAGCGGGGGGCCCGGTGGGCACCACCCCGCCCCACCCCCACCCCACCCCCCCACCGTGGCTGTGCGCTGCCCATCGCCCCCAGGGCCTGGACCCCCCCAGCTCCCACCCAGAGGTCACAGCCCCATGGAGGTGGGGTCCTGAGTGCTGTGGACGGACGGGAACGTGGCCACAGGACGCCCAGCACGGCCCGACGCAACCCGCCGCCACGACCCCCCGCCGCGCCCTACCTGGCTGCGTGTCCTCCAGCTCCATGCTGCCCACCAGCCCAGCCCCGTTCTCAGCAATAGGGGGGGGCAGCTCCTTGGAGGCCTCAGCATCGTCTGCATCACCCCCCAGCTCCTCCTCGGGCAACGGGAACGGCGGCTCACCAGAGCCCAGCATGGGGGATGGCTGTGGGGCTGCGTAGAAGGTGGTGGGGCCGTTGGGCATCAGCTCGAAGCTCTGCTCGGGGAAGGAATCATACAGCTCCTGAGAGTCAAAGTTCAGCCCCATGGGGCCAGGCGTGCCGTTGCCCCACAGCTCCGTCCCCGCGCCCCGAAGGTTCGCGCTGTGCCCGGGGGAGGAGGGCCTGGAGCCCCCAGAGACGCCGTTGAGGGGGAACTGAGCGAGGCCGCCGTCCTTGAGGCCCCCGGGGGGCTGGAACTGCGTGTAGTCCCAGAGGCAGTCGTAGGGGTGGAGGTGGGGGGGCCCCGAGGAATGCGTGCTGGAGGTGAAGGTCCCTGAAGTAGTGGTGTGAGATACAGTAGAGAAGCCGTTGACATTCATGCCCCCGTTCAGACCTGCGGGAGGGGGAGAGGCGGAGATGTTAATGGCGGGGATTGCCTTCAACCCGAGGAGAGAGGGTCTGGGGACGGATGCAGGACTGCTGTCGCCCGCAGCCCCGCTGTAGGGTTGCGCAGGGATCGGTTCACAGCCAAACCCAAACCCCCAGCCCCCAGCCCGGCCATTTTCGGCTGGGAGCACACAGCCGACCCCACCAGGAGCCCCCACCCTACAGCTGTGCTCGGTGGCCCCCCAGCGACGCGCCAACGCCTCGCACCAAGAACACAAGGCCAGGACTCCTCTGCTGCACAGCCCCACGCCTGCCCCCATACTCACTTTTCCCCTGGGGGGGGAAGCTGAGCGCGGCCCCGTTGCTGTACGGGCTGTCCCCTGAGGAAGGCGCGGTGGGTTTCAGTCCTGAGGCAGTGGGTGCGGGGGGAAGACCCGCAAAGCCAAAATGGTTATCGGTGTCCATGGCTGCGGGGGGGGTGAAAGGCACGGGGTTATGGAGGTGCCACGACCCCCAGGATCAGCCCATGGGCACTGCCGTGCCCCGGTGTGCCACGCTGTTACACAGAGGGTCCCATCACTCCCCCCCCATCCCCGTGCTCCCAGCATGGCACAGACCAGCAGGTCCCCCCCCACCCCAATGTGCCCGTGACCTTGCAGGGACGTGGCACGGCCCGCCCCCCCTCTGGGAGCACCGCAGCTCCCGGTGCTGCGTGTAGGGATGGCTGCTCCTCGGACACCTCTTTAC